TTCTACTCCAATTTGATTACTGCTCAGGTATTAATAATCCAGAGTTTGTTGCATTTTGAGGATCTGCATTTCAATTTAGCCCCTCCCTACTCATAATCTCTAATCAGAGCCTCTCTCTTTGACCTGCCTTTTATATTGGCACCTATATGGACCACAATAACTAGTTCCTTCCCCTACCACTTCACATTAGCGAAGGTGATGGCATACTGTTAATGTTACTGGTCAGTAATCCAGAAGTCTTGGCTTATGCTGGGCAGGTGTGGGTTTAACTCCCACCACGGCAAACAGTGGAATTGAAATTCAATTAATTAAAAAAATGTGGAATTAAAAATTAATCTAATGGTGGCCATGAAGCCATTGTTGATTTGTCATAAAAACCCATCTGGTTTACTCATGTCCTTTTTAGGGAAGAACATCTGGCTGTACATGGCTGTCTTACATATGACTCAACGTAATATTATTGACTTCTAAATGTTCTCTGAAATAGCCTGGCAAGCCATTCAGTTATCTAAGCCAAGGAAAGGAATGACCACCTGGCATCAACCTAGGGATTGATAGGTTGGGAAGAGGAAGTTGAGTGTCTGTAAAAAGATATTTATATGTTGTGAGTGGGCAAAAAATTAGCAAATGGAATAAATATGGGAAAATGTGAACTTGTCGTCTTTCATTAAAATGCAGTTAGTATTCCGATACAGCAAGTTTATAAGAAATGCATATAGATTGTTAGTGTTTATTGTAAGGGATGTGCAGTATTAAAAACAGGAAAGCTTTACTGCAGTGTTACGGGGCCATGGTGAGATTTATTTGGAGAAGGGTCACTGCTTTCTTTTCACAGAAGAACTAGGGGCCATAGTAAAAGAATGAGAGATCTTTTTAGACTGAAATGAGGAATTTCTTTTCTCTGAATGTTGTTAGCCTGTGGAATTCCCTTTCCTGAAAGCAATGGAGGCTGTGACATTGAATTTATTTAAGGCAAAGTTATAAGATTTTTTGATAGACGAGATTTCAGGGGCTGTTGGGGCAGATACACGAGTCGAGTTGAGACCACAACTAGATCAGCCATAATCTGATAGAATTGCAGAGTAGGTTCTAAGGGCCAGAAAGTCTAGTCCTGCTCCTAAATCCTATGTTCGTATAAACCGATAATCTTAACAATTTATATTGTTGGCCAGTCAGATGGAAGTATTGTTTCTTTCTCTGTTGGGGCTTGTGGTTTTTACAATTACAAGATCTTCAACTACAGCTGCGTGATGAGGCCTTTCTTTCTCAAAACATTTGTTTTGAGTGTAGTCGAATGTGTTTTACGAAGGAAATGAGTGCACAGATCTTTTAGGTCTACTATTTTGCAAGCTTTCTTTTAAAAGAAAAAGTCGTCATATTGATTTCTGATCTTTTCTCTTTCCTTTCACTGAAGGGATTAACTACTTGTTAGTAAATCTCAGGGATTGTTTAACTTGAACTCAAATCCCAATATTAATTTGTTAATTTGAAACTTTAATCAATAAGGCAGTATAGTAACTCAAGAAACTTACTTGGGGTACACATGAAACTTCTAAAGCAAGGCAGCTACTTTACAGGTCTGCTATGGCTTTTGCTTATTCAGCTTAGAGTACAGCTTAACAACTGCCCCCTTCCAGACTGCTGGAAGGAGATGCTGTCATTTGTAAGTTGTTTATAGTAGTTTGGCGATTTGTATTGCTTGAATTTTTGTGGATCTGGTGATCTCAACTAGGAGTAAAGGAAATTGAGGATTTAGGAAGAGTGGGTATGAGGGAAACAGCAGGAATCCAGCAGGTGAAGAAGACAGGATCAGGAAAGGGGACATTGGAGCAGGAGAGTGGTGCCAGGGAATGGGGAGAAACTCATTCTGACACCGTCTCTTCTGTGAATTTCACCCCTCTCTGGAATCTACTGGATTTCGGTGCTTGTAAGCCAATAAACTGCAGGTCTAGCTCTTGGTGCCTTGATCTCGGAATCTGCTCCAATTCTCCTGACCTCCTCTTCCTCGTTTAATGTCCAGATTTCCCAATCCTTCCAAAATTAAATAATGCAATGGTAAAAATGGCTTGACTTGGTGAAATAAAGCTTTATAGTATTTTTTAATAAATAGTGACCTGATGTTGATGTGACAAGTGTGCTTGGTTTCTTTTTTCTGTTTAAGTTCCTTCTATTGCTGGAGAAGCAGCAGGCAAGAAGAATGCCTTCAAACATAAGAATTATAAATATAAATAGGCCATTTGGCCACTTAAGCCTGCTATACTATATATTAAGATCATGCTGATCTGTTCTTATTTTGAATTCCATGTTTTCCAATGACCCGTGATTCCCTTGCCTAACGAGACACTATCCACCTCAGTTTTAAAAATATTCAATGCCCTTGCATCCTTTGCCTCCCTGCTTCCGCCTTACTTCTAAGGCATGTGTTCCAGAATTGCATAACCCTCAAGGGAAAAAAAGATTCTCATCAGAAGGGGATTTTACTTGTACTGAAAGGACTAACTCTAATTTTTAAACCATTCCCTAGTTTTGGATTCGTCCACAAGAGGAAACATCATTCTATATTCGCCTTGTCAAAATCACTCCCCATCATTTAAACTTCGATCAGATTATCCTTGATTCTTCTAAGCTCCAGCAAAAACAAGCCCAACCTCCTTCATTTAAGAAAATTCACTGATTGCAGGTTTTAATCTATAAAGCTCCTCCAAAATACATTTACATCCTTAAATAAGGGGATGCGTGCAGTATTCAAAATGTTGTCTCACCAATGCTTTGCATAACAGAAGCATAACATCCTTCCTTTTATGTTCATTTTTTCTTGTAATATAAAGCAGAAAAGCTGGGGCATGGTCAATCAGTTGATCTTTTTGTCTTTGAAGCAAAGGTCCTGTTGAACAAGTTGGATGAAATGACAGAAAAATAGTGTTAACCTGCCTGAATTTATATTGTCAAGCTATGATTCTAAACAAAATAGGTTTATATACTTTGTGATTGTTGAATTTGACTTACAGTAGGTGATGGTTTACAAGTCTATACTTGAAGCTGGAAAATATTCCTCCAAAAACTGGAGTTGACTTGCACGTTGATTACACCAGTGGTACTCTTTAGTAGTTGTTGATGGCATTTCAAAGTGTTTGGTGCAAAGAATGGGTGTGCCTCAAATTCTGAGCATGTCCATAGTAGAGGCACATGACCTGTATGATCCCTTACACCCAGTTAGTTATGAGGTAACAGTAAGTAAAACATACATTTGTGGGGTGAATCATTTGAGGCTGACCATTATTGAGAGGATTAGCATATAATGATTGAAAAGGGGGATTTGACTTGTACGTTGATTATATGTAAAAACAGATTTTGCTTTTGTTCTGGAAAAATGAAGTTTTCTTCCATCCTGGGTCAGTTTGTACCTTATGATTCACAGTAATATATTAGCAGACCTGTATCTGCATGTATGTCTCATTTTGTTTTGAGGTTTTTTATGCCTTTTTAAACAACTTTTAGCAAATATACATATCAAATGTAGCAAAACCAATCATAGCTTCAGTGCAGAGTTGTACAACTTGTTACATTAGAATTTGATGTTTCTATCTCATGTACCCAATAATGAATCATGTGCTGGAATCAGCAATAAAGTTTAATAGTAGTAACAAACTTATGGTAAAAGAATTTATTTTAAAAAAAAAACATGGCAAAGGTTTTATGAAGATCTGTCACTTATGTGGCAAATCTGTAGCTGTTTTTATTCGGCATATTGCTGCAAATACTGTCAAGTGCACAGCAATCCTCACGATGGCCCCAACTAAACAGATTTTCACAAGCAGACCTACAATCTGAATTTGAGCTCTAAGCAAGCTTGCCATGAACTTATACACGTAACCACCCAGCCTTGCCTGAGAAAGTGTTAGATGACACTGCTGAGAGCTGATGATATCTAGGTCACTGATGGTGTTAATGAATTACATCTGCTCAGTCCCCCTTCCTGGTTTTCTCCATGACGTCAATACATAATAGTTAATAAATGAATTGTGTATTCTGATGTACCAATTACAAATCTATATCATGTTTAACATTTTTTAAATTTTTGTTCTTGAGGCTGATCATTTGTTTCACCGTCCTGTAAAATGTGACTGATTACAACAGCTCGTTTTGTACTTTAATTCTTTTTGAATCTGGCTAAAATATTCCCCTGTTGATTTCTCATAGAAAGGTCATTGGACTATGTGGTGAGTGCTCGTGGGAATGAAGACTGTCATTTTCCTGCCTCTTGCACCCGCCAAAATAAAAGTACCAGTAATTCATCTGAATCCAATGCTGAGCAACAGGAAATGAGTGCTATAAGGCATCGTTTTCTCATACTGCTTAAAGGCTGACCTCAGGAATGTTAGAAAAGAAATCCTACTTCAAAACTTTAACTTGTGTAGATATATTGACTTGTCAGCTTAACTAACTGCCTTTTTGAAACTAGTCAATTCCCAACTTTTGACGTTATGATCAGAAATGTTTTTATCCTGCAAATGTTGATTTCATGATCTTAAGCAAGGTAATCATATTGCTTTGAAAGTCTTATGCATTCAGTATGTTGCTATGAGCTTGAATGGACAGTCTGAAACACAATATATACACTAACTAGCCAAAAACAACGATGGAATGTCAAGATGGCACCTTAGTGCTATTGTTTTATGCTCGCTATTATTAAAATGCAAACTTTGAGATAGGGCTGTGTTTAAGAGGTCAAGTCAGAAGTTTTCAGAATTTCTTTTAAACAGAATTTAGGCCAAGTCAAAACACGTCATTTTTATAGGAAATCCTGATCACAACTTAAAATGACTTGGAGCTTTGAAATCAAATTTATATTAAATTAAGTTAAATTGAACTTGTTTCTAAAGTGGCATTTAGAAAAATTTTTTCCACTTGGCCTTTCTGAAAGGTTTATTGATTAAGGTACTGGTCAGTCCATTCATTGCATGTGACTTGTACTGAAATTCAATTATTTTGATTTTCAGTTGTCACTCTCTATGCAACTTTGGGAGGTCAAGCAATTGCACATGGTTTAAATGAAACTGAAGTCACACATATTATTACAAGCAAGAAACTTCTGCAAACAAAGCTAAAGGTAGGTCATGGAATGTTATTGCTGTTGGCTAGCTTTCTTTTTGTTTGTTTTCCATTGCTTCTGCAAGAGCTTAAACGTTCCTGTGATTTTATAAATCACTCAACGAATGAGAAATGTATTCTGATCATTTGATTGGGTGATTGGACAGTTTTTTATGATTTATGATTTATGATTTTTTATTTTTTATGATTTAATTGGCTTATGTTCACAGTAATTTTCAAATTTAAGAACTTCCAACAATGTGAAACATGCAACTCCATTTTTTTCAGCTTATTTTTAATCGATAAAATGTTGCCCGATTTTGGAATTGCTGAGTAAATGGTCTTAATGTAATAAAAGCAAAGAAAAGTCTGACTTTATTGTATAAGGACGAAATGCTGAAAATACTCAGCAAGTTGAACGTCTGTGGTGTAGAGGCAGAGTCAACAGATGAGATTTTAACTCGCTCAAAATACATTCATTAGCATGAAATTAAAGAGGAGCAAAATATTTCAGGTTATCCTACTGGAACTGGAAAAAGTTTCTTTAAAAGAACAACTGGTTTTACTGACCTGGGTATTTCCAGTAGTACTAGTTTTTGATGTAGTATTTTGTATTGGTACATTAGCTTTTAAAGTGTGGCAGTCCCTTTACCAATGTTGGCTGCATTTGAAATCAGTTTTTAAAATTATATTGAAGTTAGTGCCTCATTCAGAATAACTTAGCTGTTAAATGTTGTATGGTTCATAAGAGCCAATGAAGAATGAGATAAAATTATAATATTTTAACTTGCAGTGTTTACTGTGCAGCTGTGTTTTGAATGCCGTTAAATTGGAGTGGAGACAGTGATGTAGTACTAATGTCACTAGATGAGTAATCCAGAAACCCTACTAATGTACTAAGGATATGTGTTTGAATACCACCATGAAATATGAATGCAGCACAACATGAAATGAAAAGCTGTTCTATAATTTACCATCCTTATCTGATTTGGCCTACATGTGACTCCAAACACAGCAATGTGGTTGACTTCTAACTGTCCTCTTGAAATGGCCTAGAGCACCTGTTAAGTTCAATTAGGTTGTAGACATGCTCGCTGAGCCAGTGGGTTTGCTTGCAAATGTTTCATCACCCTGCTTGGTAACATTGTCAGCGTGTCGGTGTTCTGTCCCACTTGTTATTTATATGCCTTAGTAGACCCTATGCACAAACCACTGAGAAACAGAACTGGAAGTGGTACTAACCACCCCAACAAAGTGAGGCATATAAATAACCAGGGGGACAGAACACCAACGCGTCACCAGAGGCGCACGTTATGTTACCTAGCAGGGTGACGAAAATGTTTGCAACCAAACTCCCTAGCTCGGCGAGCATGTCTACAATCTCATTCACAACCCGAGCCACAAATCTTAAAATTTAAGTTCAGTGAGAGATGGCGAAACCGATGCCACCCTTACTAGCGACTTCATATTGTATGTAAGAATGGGAAAAAAGTATCTGTTTTAGTGCACAAGAGATGATTTTGAATAGTTTTTGACTATTATCAATTTGGTGGCTAAATGTCTTTGTTAGTTATCCTTTTAGCATCTGCTGTATCCTTTTTTAAAACCCTGTATTACTATGAATAGTATTCAAGATTAACCTTGCCTAAAGCAATCAAATATTTTATATGCTACAACAAAATTGCCTGTTACTATCTTAGGCAGAGGATTTTTAAACTTTGTTAGAACAATCCGTTTATGTACAGCAGTTCCCCTGGTGCCTTTTGTAGCAGGACAAGAGCTATATATTGTATTGCAAGCATGATTTGATTAGTACATTGTACACCCTCAACATAACCTCAGTAGATTCATAGTGTTATGTATCTATAGATATTATTTGAAGTTTTGTCATTGTCTCATCACATTACCCGAGATCGACAAGAATAACTATAAGGATATTTTGAAAGAGGGAATACCAATTTTCAGCCAAATAAGTTTGAATGCAGATATTTGAAGTGATGGATCTGGAATCATCTCGGACTTTTCATTCTTTCCCATTTCTGTTTCACAGGAAATCCTAATTAATGTTCCAAAACTACAGCATATCATAATCGTTGATGATAAACCGACAGCCTGGTCTGAATATCCCCGTGGCATCATGGTTCACAACATGGCAGCAGTGGAAGCATTGGGGGCAAAACCAGAAAATTGTGTGTAATCTACTTTCTTATTTCTTCATTTTTACTTGTGGACTTTGTATTTATATATCTCAATGCAGAGAAACACTGTTTCTAAGGTTATTTTTTATCCATCTAATACAAAAGCAAAAATGCTGGAAATATGCAGAGATCTGTCAGCTTCTGAAAAAGTAATGTTTGACATTTTATGATTGAATCTCTTCACATCTGTTGAGGTTTTGAATGTGTTTCTAACTGAAATATTAAGGTTTTGATTTTAGACTTAGGCCTGCTGTATATTTTCTCTATTTTCTTTATTTTAGACTTAACAGCATTTCCGAGCTTCTCTTTGTTAATGCAATATATTGGCAGTTGGTAAACAGGATGAAATATTCAGACTTGCTATACATAATTTAATAAGTAAGGAGCATTGGGATATCTTGATGAGGACAACTATGATGAGGAATAGGATTTGTTTCTTTGCTGGCATTCCTAATTAGATGCATGGTCAAAGAATCTTCAATGTCCATTAATTACAGGAATAAAGTTCTGAGTGAGACTGGTTAACTAATGCTAGCTTCAATTAAATTTAAAGTTTTGCGGTAACAATGGAAGTGGGTTCAGATTGCATAATGGTTTCCAAACCTATTGTCTTGATGCTGACAGACACAAGGATCTGTGTTTTCTTGCCTCTGTCTTGAGTTGGGTGCAGGTGAAAGATCTTTGAAAATAGTGGGCTGGATCTGATTCTAAGAGTCTGCTGCATTATTATGGGAAAAGAATGCAGATGCATGCCTACATGCAGCATTCTTGCCCTGATGGGTTATATTGTGGGTGGAAGCATTTAAAATCTCCTGTAATTTTGATAAAGTCAAGCCTGTTTTGTTAGGAGAAGTGCTTTACAATACATGAAAAAGCCATGAACCATAAGGAAACCTTTGTCTCAAGACAGGAATCGAGCAAAAGTAGATATTCGGCATTCCCTTTGAAAAACATTGCTGCTCTTACCTTCTCAAAGTTGTCAATCACAAGCAATGGAAGACAGGTAGAGAAAACTTCAGTATATTCTTGATACCTGTGTGTTTGGACAATATTGGAAAACTTCAGAGAAAGATCAGATAAGGCTATTCTTGGAGCACAGCCAAGTATTCTTCTTGTTACCATCTGGCAACTGTATCAGCTTAAGCACTTTGATTAGCTGGTCAGATATCGGTTTCTTCCCAGATGATGTCTACATGAATTCTTAGCTGAGCTCTAAGAATAACTAATGAACTCAGCTCAGCAGAATTCTGTTTGTGCTGCTTCAAGGAGAGTATTTTGTATGTTTTTAAGCATGTAGAACCTGGTCAGTCTTTTGAAGAAGTTTTTTCGACAAGATTAAGAGGTGGGAATTGAATTGAAGGTTTTCTTAACGGGGCTTTCATTACTTGTGATCTATTGCCTTATTTATTTGCTCGTAAAACTGTCATTGTTTTTCAAAGGTATTTCTGATTGGCTGAGTTATTTCTCATGAGCTTTTCAAACTATTGGTAGTGTTATTATGTGGTTAATTGGCTTTGTACTTCATGCACACTGGATGATTGGGGATGTCAAGGGGTCAGGTGGGGACCTTGTTGAGGGCCTGAGCATTCAAAGTCATAAATACCGAGTGGGCTGATGTTCCACTGGGAATAAAGGAGGGCATTCTGGCTTCACTACCCCCTGCACACGCATGAGCACCCTCCATTGCCACGTCAGGCCTACCTCTAGAAACAGATGGTTTATTTTCCTGAAGGTACTGCAGGAGGGTTTCTGCTGGATGGAGACAGATCACATGGGCAGGAAATTCCTGACTTGGCATACTTCTCGTCTTTTGAAAATCTGAGCCAGGAAGTTTTTAACAAAGTTTGTTTTGCCTAGATTTGAATACTAGTCCAAAAATGAAGACGGCTGGTATAACACATTTGCTATACATTGGGCAGCTGATTTGTTTTACAAAACAAATCATGAGAAGTACTGGCTATCAATTTGTAGCTTCTGTGAGAATATTTTTCGTGTCAGTGGGAAGCTGTAGTAAGGATGACTAGTTTTGCTTATTTGACTGTGTGCCATGGTACAGTCTGCTAGCTTTTTCTTTAGAGCTGTAGTACTGAAAAGTGAAACGTCTGTCTTAAATCACTGCTCAGCAGAAGAAAACTGAATGTTGCACTTCTTTATTTTCACTAAATGTCAATATGTATTTCAGAAGAAGAACTTGAATGAATTACTTTTTTATTTTGTCCCTTTTGCTTTATAAATCAAATTTCCCATGCCTTGTTTTCCTTCTGGTGTATCCACCGCTGCGTCAAGGGCATGTGAATAAAGGGCAACTCCATTTAGTGGAGACCTAGCACATCTGGAGTTAATTACAACTACTAGATAGATTGTAGGGCTTTGTGCTTAAGCTTTAGAAAGCTACAATCCTGTAAAATAATGTGCATAGAATTGTTGTAAATTTTGTGCAACAGTTTAGCCTGGCGATGTTTGTAGAAAACAACTATGGTTGTGGAACAGCAACAAATTCAATGGATATGGCTTGTATGTAGCTGCTGTTAGATTTTGTTGCTCTATCTTTCACTTTAAGTCAATAATATTTTGCTACATTTGTTTCAGCCCTCTTTCTTAAAGCAGTTAAGGTTTCTTTATTAGATGGCACAGATGAAACAAAGTGAAACCTTACTTGTAAACAGTGATGGCTTTTCATCTCTTTTGGGCACTGATTTCTAAGGTGCGTGCTTCCTATTTGAAACAAGCCACTGCAATCTTGATCCATTCATTGGAGACCGTAGGTTCACAGATTTGAGTTGGCATTCTCGCTCAGGACAGAATGATGGAGGTTTCTTTTTGACTTTTTTTTTTGAATAATGCTCCAGTGTTTTTGCTTCAAGTTCAGTTTCATCCTCTACAACTGGCCATAATAAGAACATGTAAAATTGAAGCAGGACTGTGCCATTTGGTATTGAATCTGTTCTGCCATTCAGATTATGACTGATCTCCCTAAACACACTTTTCCTGCACTGTTTTCATATCCCTTGATATCCTTAATATTTGTAAACCTTCCCTCTTGAGCGCACTCAATGACTTAGTCTCTACAGCATTCTGGGGTACAGAATACCGAAGATGTATCATCCAGCATGCAGAAATCTCTCCTCGCCTCTGTGCTAATTACTATCATGTCCCCAATTCTAGACTTCCCACTCCCAGCTATTGAAAACATCCTTTATACAATTGTAACAATTCTGCATGTTTAATTAAATAATTTCTCATTCTCCTGAACCCGAGAGAATATGTGCCTAGTCAGTTCAATCTCTCCTGTTTTGATAATTCTGCCGTCTGAGGAATCCGCCTGTTGAACCTTGTTGCACACTGTCTGTGGTTAGTGTATCCTCCTTAGGTAAGGAGACCATAAACTCTGAATGCTAACCTAGGTGTGGTCTCACCAAGGCTCTATAGAGTTGCAGCAAGAGAGATCCTCATTGCTGTACTCAAATCCTTTAGGAATAAAGGCTGATGTCCGTTTGCTTTCCTAATTTCTTGCTGCACTTGCAGTCTAGCTTTTAGTGACTTTCAAATATGGGCACCCAAGCCCTTTTGGACATCTACACTTGCCGATTTCATCACTTAAGAAAACTGTCTGGGATCATGTGTAGTCTAATGCTTTCACTTTTGGTTATTCAACAAGGGGTTCCTTATTGCTCCAATCTGAATATATTTGGATAATAATTGGTTTGATTAACCAGACGTTATTAATTTAGTCAGATTCTGTAGTGCAGAATTCAGGTGGTACAATTTCATTCAAAGTTCATAACTTAACATTTTTCCACATTATATTCCACCTGCCTTGTTCTGACCCATTCAATCAGCCTATCTAAATCCCCTTAAAGCTACTTTTCATCCCTCTTATGACTCCCTATTTCCACCTAGTTTTGTGTTGTCAGTTGCCTTGGGAACATTGCATTTGATTTCCAAATTGAAATCATTGATATAGATGGTGAACAACTATGGCCGTATCCTATTCTTCTAGTCACATCCTCAAAAAAAAATCCTAATTGGTTTGCCAAGCATGATTTCCCTGTCATAAATTATCTTGACATTGGCTAATCCTACAATTATTTTAAATTAGTCAGTTCTTTATAATAGATTCCATAGCGTACACTCATTTTTCTTGAAGGCATCTTTAAAAAGACGAATGTTTTCATGGGAATTTGATGCTTTCAAAGTTGTCGAATTGTTTAAAATAATATCTTGAGTATTCCCAAAGGTCCTTTTGATGTATTACTAGTCGTCTACAAGTAAGCTTGTGTGCAGGAGTAATTACTAAATGAGCTAGCTTTGAATCTGTGAAATGGTTGGTAAAGGAAACAATGTTTGTTGTGCTGGTGAAAGTCTAACTAGGACAAAAGTACTTTATTTTCATCTTATTTTATAAATTCAAGAATTGGTTATTTTTCTATCATAGTGAATAGAGCACGGACCAAGCCTACATCTTTAGATATCGCTGTAATAATGTACACAAGTGGGTCTACAGGCTTACCAAAAGGAGTGATGATTTCACACAGCAACCTCATTGCTGGGATAGCAGGAATGTGTTCTAGAGTTCCTGAATTGGGGTATGTATTATTAATGATTTAACAGGGAAGTTTTACTTTCTTACATTGGGAAACTATCGTGAACTGCATTTAAAAATGCTTGATAATTATTTACAACTTTTATAAAGGGTACAATGCATGTACTGATATGAACTGTAATTTTTAATTGACTTTAGTAAATTGAAAAAGAAGGTGAAATTTAGATATTTGAAAGGAAAGAGAAATGAGTGTTCTGTTAATTCAAAATAACCCTACCACATCTTTACCTGTTTGGGATAATGTGAATTCTAATACTTCCACTTTTGGTGATTCAACAAAGGTTCCTTATAGCTCCAATCTGAATGCATTTGGATAATAATTGGTTTGATTAACCCAAAGTTATTAATTTAGTCAAATTCTGTGGTACCAAATTCAGGTGGTATAATTCTAAATCCTACTAAGGTAGAGATCTTCTAGCTATCTCTAGAGTCGGGTTATACTCTTACCTGAGTTGTATTGCTTCACGCTTTGTCAAATACTGAAGGTACAACTTGATCTTTGTGGATAGTCCAAAATACTCTTTCATACTGAATTATGATGTGATTACAAACATAAATCAACAGGGAGGGATAATTCTTCTCAATAGACAATAATTTGCTTTTATGTAGCTCTTACAGCAACTTCAGGACATTTAAAAGGGTTTTATAGCTAAAATGTACTTTTGAAATTTAAGTATATGTTAAATATTGGCCAAAGTTGGAACTAATCTACTGTTCTGAGAGTACCATGGGATTTTTTTAATATATCAGAGAACGGAATAAGAACTTGGTTTAAAAGTTGACCATGAAACATTTACTTAATATTGCATTGTGTACTGATTATAACAAGGTCATCCAGTTGGACCTCATAGAATGAGTTCCTTATTCAGGGTTATTAACCTGGTCCAAGCAGGGGGCCCTGGCTGACAGATATCAACTGGAGTGTCAGAGGTTTTGTTCGTTCTGAAAGCTGGTTTTGAGGAAGCCGCACTAGTGTCAAGTAACTATGCATGTGGCAAAAAAGTGGTGACTTGGTGACGGGATACTGGCCCCTGTGGAGTTATTTCACACTGACCTATTGGCTGAGTTTTTGTGCTTTAATGGAGCTTGAATGCAACCTTTTAAGTGACAAATGTTATTCAGCCAACATATTAATTGCGTCAAAAGCTGTTCAAACTCAAATGTTTTTCTAAGGCCCGTGTTTGGTGTAATTGTTGAAAACATGCTTTTATATTTTCTATGAAGACCAAAGGACACCTACATTGGTTACCTACCCCTGGCACACGTATTGGAGCTGAGTGCGGAAACACTTTGTATGGCTTGCGGCTGTTGTATTGGCTACTCCTCCCCTCAGACTTTGGCAGACCAGGTAAAGGTTTACCAATACGTTCATTTTTAAAATCACATTTCGACTGGTCGTAGTAGTAAAATGTTGCATTGATTTATCTGCAATATCTATTTTCTACTTCATTCACATTTATTCTTTAATTAGTAGCCTATGAATTGCTCTACCTAATATAGATGTACAAGACTTTTATCTGTACCTTCAAAATTTGAAAAATAGCATTTTATATTTTATTTACGAGAAGCTTTGACATTGTGTAGTGGCTAAGTAATTTGCACTGCTGAAAAATAGAAACAATTATCCTCAAACTGTATTTATAAAGGTTGAAATACACAATCTGAGTGGTGAAAGATACAATTGTCGTTTTGAAGGATAATATTTTCTTTTATTGTGTAAATAACCATTGTCTCTTTTGTAGTCTGCTAAAATCAAGAAAGGAAGCAAAGGTGATACAACAGTACTTAAACCAACACTATTGGCAGCTGTACCGGTAAGTTTTTTTTTAGATATTGGACATGTCTAGAGCAAGTTGTTGCAAAATATACTCCTAAGTCAACAGATGTTTTCATTATAATCACTGCTTGAGTTCATAATGCTTAATCCAAAAAGTCCATTAGTGATACCCTATCAGTTCCATTCAGGAGATCTGTTACTTGGACTGGGCAGAACCAATTGTTCTTTTTGTGAGAGATATCTGCATGTGGGTAATGGTGTCCACAAGTCAATGATTAAGATTGTCCTTGGGTACAAGGATAACGCTTTGCATTCATTTTCTTTTCTCTGAATGACACTGCATCGTACTGTTAAATTTAAAGCAGTGTGAGGGTGCATCTTTCATGAAGTTTCATATCATTTCATTCTGCCTCAGATTGGGGGTGTTTTATGACGCAGTTATGTTGCAACGTAACAGTTAGTGTTTCAGAGGGGCTAATTGGACATAAAAGAGGATGGTCAGAAAAGGGTTTGAGAAAGGGTTTTGAAGGCGAGATCATGTGTGGCCAGCAAAGTCTGTCTTTTTTAAGAACAGAGTACCAATGACCATCATTGCTAGGGGTGGGTGGGTAGGAGAGTCAAAAGACAGGAGGAGAGAGTGCAGAAGTAGTCCAAATTGAGGAAAGCAAAGCCGTAACCTGGGACGTTGAACTGAAGCAACAATAGTTACTGTTTATATCCTGTACCTGCGTAAAACTCATTTTCTTTTGGGTATGAGTTTTTAATGTTGGAACAAAAATGCACAAGTAAGGATGGGAAAATACTTAATAACCTTTTCATTTAGTTGTTACATAGTTTTACTATAATACCAGTTGATGGTAATACTGGATAAAATAGATTCCAGAATGAAACCTGGCCTGATAGACCAATGTTTTTACTTTTGCAGTTTGATTACTGCGGTGGTCAGTCATTGAACATATTCATACGATGCTGCAAATGGATTTTTAATAAAACAAATAAGCTAATTACACAAACAAAAAGTAAGTTATGTATAAATAAGACCACTTGGAAAGGTCTTATCATGAGCAGAAAAAAGAAATATCAACCCCTTTTTTTCTAGAAATATCAACCCCTTTTTTTCTAGAAATATCACTTACAGACATTTAACCCCAGTGAAGTATCCTTTCTGTCATCACGTCAAAAATTCCTTTCTAAAGTGATGCGGTCGTAAGCATTTCCTTTCAGCAACTTTCTGAACGTTCACCAGATGTGATTCTCTCTTCTCTCTGAGAAACTTAACTCACTGACTCTGCTCTGACTGACTGACTATTTGAGGCTGCGAAAACATCTTAAGACTTCTTCCCTGCTCTGTTGGCCATGAAGCTCCCAGAAACTAAACTGCCCTTCTGCTATGAATCATTTCTTCTGAACTTAGCCTAAACCCTAGCCTTCCCTTCTTTGCTTATTGAACTCAAGTCAATACTAAGCAACAATTATCTACCAGGTAGCTCAATAAGTCATTTAGCTTAAGTCACATGATGCCTAGGAGAGGCTGTCTTTCGCTTACAGTTCCAAATTACTTTTTTAAAAAATTCAGACCATCACAGCAATGAGAACCAAGAACACATCTACCTCCACTTCAGAGTCCAATTTCTCAAATTGTGATGAAAGTTTATTACATTATTTTGTTTGAACAAAAAGAAATTGCAATTCTTAATTCAGCAATTTGTAGTTAACTTTGTAATAAGGATTTTCCTTCTAGGTGCAAAAGCAGAAATTGCTGGAAAAACTCACCAAGTCAGGTAGCATCTATGAAGAGAAATCACTTAACAGTTCGGGTCCAGTGACCCCCCC